GAGGGCAGTGTCACTGGCCCTCATATGTGGGATTCGAACCGGGGTCCTCTGGCATCCCAAGCCAGTTCTTAACCTTCGCACCACTCTGCCGGCCCAACAATTTTTAAGTGAATGTCACTTAAAACAGTATTTTAATGCTAACTTCTAAAAAAAAAATAGTAGAGTATGTTTAAAATTTGAAACTAGAGGTTTGTAGAAAATGATATGCTTTATTTCTAGGATTAACCTATATCTGTGAGACCTAGAAGATAGAAGTAAATTAAGAGCAAGGTGACCTGAGTAATAAGTCTGACTGTATCATTATGTGTTAAGGAAAAATGACCTGGGGTGTTTGCACATGTTTCACTACTACATTATTAATGTGGTTAAAATGATGTGTCTTCACAGAGAATACATATTTGAAACATAAATTATTAGCTTCTTTATACATGTGAGCTTGTTAGAACGCTATAAATTCTACAGCTAAGAAATAGTTTGCAGCATTCTCACCCATATTATGAGCATTGTCTGAATTGCCTCAGATGATGTCACTGAGTTTTATTTCCCATGCAATTTTTTTAATATGGAAAATCAAATCAATATGTTGATGAGCTGCTTATAATTTTAGGCATCTAAAAAAAATCCCACAATTGATTGGAGTAACAATTAAATATACTAATTTGAACAGAAGCCACAAAATATGCTAATGAAGGACTACATATATTTTAAATTGATTTCTAAATACATTTCTAGCCCACCTCCATCTGCTCTTAGTAAACTGGTAGCCTGGAAATAGAAACCAATCTTAATATAGTCTGGAACCAGAGTGTGTGGGTGGGAATCCTGGCTCTCCCACTAGCTGTGTGATCTTAAATAAATCACATGAACTCTCTTTATTTCAGTTTCTTGCCCTATAATTTGAGGATAATAATAATAGCTATCTCCATAGGGTCATTTTGAGGATTGAGTTAATACATGAAAGCTTGTAGACTACTTCCTGGTGTAAAATAAGCACTATTCTTAGTAATTATAATTATTAAATATTACCCAAAGCTAAACATAATTAGGGATATAAATTCTATATCTGTTAAGATCATTTAAGGGACTCCAAAAAGAAACTGAGATGATTTATAAACTATCCATTGTTTTGCATTATCCAGACCACTCGTACCTCTATGAATAAGGAAAATGAAGCGCATTCTTGAACAGGTTTTTGAAAATTAAATATAATATTGAAAAAAAATTTCAAAAGCAAAACACTCAGTTTTTAGAGTAAAATTACAGATTGTAAATAAATTCTCAGCATCCTTCCTCTTACATCTCACTGTCCAAAATCAGGACACAGGGCGAATGCCAAGCAGCACAGGAAGCTGGGATAATGAGTATCTGGGAGTTATCCTACTATACCTATGTGAAAAAAGTAATCTACAAAAGAAAAACGGAAGGGCTAGGCAACAACCAATGTCTGTTTTAGTCCTGTAGAGGCAGCACTAGAGAATGAAAGAGGCACTGACCCAAAAACTAGTCTTCCAACAAGCATCCTTCCATCATGTTACTTCATTTCTTTATCTGAGAACTTAAAAACCTGGCCAATCCTTGGAGACATGGCTGATTCATAGACATTGGGGCACAGAATGTACCAGAGGAGCTTGGAAATTCAAAGACTCTGGAGGAACATGTCAGAAGGTCTCTAGAGCCAATCTGAAAGTCCCCCACACTGGCCAACGATGGGACAATCTGAGCATCAAATAGAATAATAACTTCAGTAGTGTTAAGTACACCAAATAAGTTTAAATACATCAGTTCAAAGTAATACTCAAAAGAAAAATTAAAACCAACAACTCACAGGTCACTTTTGGAGGAGTCTAAAGAACTATTATTCTAAAAATCTGATGATAAAAAAGTCAAGTATTCATCCTGTCTTTTCTTATAACCAAATAGTCATACAGGGAATCAGTTACCTAAGGTGAAGTTCTTCATAGACATTTTCAGCTAATAAATGCAAAAGGATAGAGTTCAAATATCACCGTTCTGAAATCCTTAATAGAGTAATGGATCAAGCCAAAGATCATCAAAGAAAAATCCATTAGATAGAAAGCTGACAGGAACTTTAATAATGGGTACATCAGGTGACAAGATAGGAAGCCACCGATCAATCTTAACATCACAAAAAAGCAAGACAGCCAAATATTATGTGCCTCGTGATGTCACACAATAGGAAATTCAAAACATTTTTGCAGTGTTCTTGTCAATATTCCAAAACTTAATCAAACCTCCTAATCTAACTACCAGTTCACTGGAAAGACAAAGGGTAGAGAAATACGTTAAATGACCATAATATGGGTACTTCTACACAATCTGATTTCTTCAACAATACACACATATACACACATACACAGAAAAAAAAAAGATCTATAGATAAAAAGAGACTGAAGAGATATATATCAATCAAATATAATGAATAGACTTTGGTTCCTAATTCAAACCAGTTTAAAAAAAATTATGACTCAGAGAAATATGAATACTGACAAAACATTTGATTATATAGGAATTACTGTTATTTTTTGGTGTGTTAAGGATATTTTGGATATGCTTTTTAAAAAAGATTCCTTATCTTTTAAAGATACATACTAAAGTATTTGCAGATACAATATCTATGATTTACTTCAAAATAACCCAGTGAGAAAGGTGATGAATACATGAGGCTCATTCTAACAGTCTACTTTTGAGTATGCTTGAAAGTTTCTACAGTGAAATTAAAAACAAAAAAACCACCACACAACCAGTGGGCAGGGAAGGGACCAATAATCTCTGCCCAGGATATCTTCTAGTTCTAGTTTTCCATGATCTGTGATAAAGATACTTACGGTTAACTGTATCAATTAGGACATTTTGTGGTGAAATTAAATAAAATTAACATAGTGGAAAGAGAATCCTAAACCTATATTTTAG